CCAAAGAAAGTAGCTACATGTGCAGACAACATGAAACTTCAGACTGCAGAAAATTTCACAATCCATTATCAAACTTATGTCACAGAAGTGGTAAAGGACATATGTGACAACTGAATAGTACCTTTTGTAAATTTTTTGGCCAGGGGTAGCCTGCTCGCAGCCTAGGCCAGGGGTGGATATTTATTTTTTAATTGATATTTGAGGTTGGGTAATCAATTTTGTTTACTTTTTAATGGTTGGGTCAGCAAAATTTTTGCTACGAAAAACATTTCTCTTCGGTGCCACCCCCCGCCATAAATAATGACCGGTCCCTTAGCGTCTATAAAATTTTGTTCCAAGGCGCAAGCTTTTTGAATTAATAGACTGTAAAATGCATGCATCTTACAGGAAACGGGATAACATTAAACTAAAGCCCACGCTTTATATGTTAAATATTAAAGCCAAGGGGCGCAATTCGGCGGCGGCGGCGACGCGGTATATTTTTAGTTTTCATTCACGGATACTTTGTAATCCCAAATTACTTACAGTACTTTAAAATTAACCGATTTTTGATTATTTTTTAACAACTAAAAATGCGCAGATTTGGTTTAAGCAGACGTTGGAGTTTTTAAACTCCACAGTAATGTACCTTAAAGTATCCGTGAATAAAAACCGTACCTCGTCGCCGCCGAATTGCGCCCCACCCGCTTTAATATTTAACATATAAAGCGTGGGTTTTTAGTGTTATCCCGTTTCCAGTATGATGCATAAACTTGCGCGTTGGAACAAAATTCTATAGACGCTACTAATGTCTAATTGAAATTAATAAAATTATATGTTCAATTAAAATCACATATTATGTGCACAGCGCTGTTATACATACATAATATACTGATAAGCATAATTGCGGCATAGTAAGTCAACTTGTGAAAAACATTTGATATTAAGGGAAAATTACGTCATGTCTTTACCGGAAGCGAACATGTTTGATTGACAGTTTGAGAGTTTTGCATAAAGCATGCGTTTTATGTATAATGTAAATAAGATAGGTTGAAGTTTAATACAAATCATAGCAAACGAGCACGAAGCTTACGAACGTTTATAATATGGCGCCCAAAGTGGGGCAGGCTTTTTCAAAATAAAGGCTGCCATTCGAACCAACAATGTCGACGAAAGAAGCGAAGGAAAAACTAGATACGCTTCGTGCAAGGGGAGGAGGCCATCGCGGGGTATCTACAAAACTTATGAAAGAAGCGATGGAATTGCTGCAGACACCCGAAGCAGAAAATATCGAAAGATGCGAAATTATAGCTACTCAGCTCAAAGAAAAGGTGACATTATTAACCCAAATCGACGAGGAAATTTTAAACTTATGCGATGTGAGCGAAATCGAAGTAGAGATCGAAGAATCAGCCGAAATATCGGACAGAATATCAGAAACGAAGCGAAAAATCGACAAGCAAACAAAAGTCGCCAAAAATCACGATAATATTAATACGAATGTAAACAACGCGAATTCGAACTTGAACTCGGCTACAGAACAGGGGAATACAACGAATCTAATCGAAAGTTCAACAAACACAACGAATGCGACGGGGGGAAACGAAATGGAAGAAAATACGAGTCATAATTCAGTCAATAGTCAGGCTTCCCCATTGCAAACAATAACTGCAAATACGACAACAACGCCCGGGAATTTTGTGTCAAGTTTACCGAAGCTGCCAAAACTAGAACTCCCTAAATTTGGTGGTCAAATAACGGAATGGAACTCATTTTGGGATCTATAAAATTCTGCAATTCACAGCAATCCGAGTATCTCGAAAGTAAATAAATTTAACTATTTACAGTCTTTGCTTGAAGGAAATGCAGCGCGAGCGATAAAAGGCCTTACGTTAACCGGGGCAAATTATGACGCTGCTGTTCAAATATTACAAGAACGATTTGGGAAAACCCAACAATCAATATCGGCCCACATGGACGAAATTTTAAAAATTCAAGCTTGTACGAGCAATCGAACAGGACAACTAAGGTATGTCTATGATAAAATAAGCGTTCACGTACGAGTTTTAGCGACTCTGGGGGTTTCCTCAGAGCAATACCGAAGCATGCTTATTCCCATCATAATGTCCAAATTGCCAAGTGATATATGTTTAGAAATTGCACGAAAATCGAAAGGAGACGTATGGAAAATCGATGACTTGTTAGATACTATAAAAATCGAAATAGAAGCGAGGGAAGTCAGCGAGGGGGTGCGGTCAACTCCACAACAACCGGGTAAACGACCCGGGGGTCAATCAACCGTAGGGGCATTTGTTACGAAGGGCAGTAATTCTGGAAAATTTCAAATACGGTGTGTTTATTGCGAAGAGCTGCACTACTCTGCTTCATGTAAGAAGGTAGTAAGTAGCGAAGATCGAAAAACGATTTTAAGAAATTCGAAGCGCTGTTTTAATTGTCTTCGCAAGGGACACCTAGCGAATGTTTGTGCAAATGCTAAAAAATGCCGACACTGTTCAGGGAAACACCATCAATCAATTTGTCCTAATAACTCGAACTCGAAAACTGAGCAAAAACAAATGGAGGACAAAAATGCGAGCGAAACAAACAAGGACGGTGAAACAAGGACATTAACTGGAGTATGTAAGGGCAGCGTCTTGCTGCAAACTGCGAGAGCCGTTGCGACTAGTGGTTCTAGGTCAAAGCCCGTGCGCATTTTATTCGATACTGGTAGTCAGCGGTCGTACGTCACTAACGCTAAGCAACTAAAGCTAACACCACTGAAACGAGAGCCATTGCATTTAAACACATTTGGAAACAGCCAAACGAAACGTGAAAATTGTGAACTTTTCAAGTTCAATATTCGAAGTACGAGGGGAAATGACAGCGTTGAGCTTAAAGCAATTAGCTTTCCGACCATTTGTTCGCCTGTCAGTTCTGTGATAAATATCAATAATTACCCACATCTTCAGGAGCTAGAGCTTGCAGATTTCGATGCAAAGGGAACATGCAATGATAACATTGACATACTAGTCGGTGCCGATTTCTATTGGAGCATAGTTACTGGAGACGTTGTTATAATAATAATAATAATAATAATCTGTTTAATTAATCACATTGCAGTCTCTACTGAATTACATGATTATAAGTAAATACATTAAAAATTAAATTTACAGATAAAATTGAGTTCAAACCGTTCAATGTTCGTTCTGAATAGTCAGTTTAAATCTGTCCACAAATTATAATTGGGTCCCTGAATTAATATACACGAGTACTACTAAATCAATAATATATTAATAATTATATTTGACAGTTATAAAATTTTGAAACCGTTCTGTGTTCGTTTGGAGTGACCAGCTTGATTCGGACCTAAGATTATAATTATGAGTATTTGGATGTATACGAGTTGCAACAACATCCTTAAGAGGATTTATAGGACCATTGTCAAGCTTCAATTTCCGAATAAATTGTTCACAGGAATTATGTCTACGCGTACTTAACCTTTTTAGACCAGTATAATTCAATGCGTCTTGATACGACATTTCGGGAAGCAAGATACGTAATGCTCTTCTCTGTATCGATTCGATAAGGTCAGACTGGCCTTGGGTTAGCGTTGACCACGCAGGTGAAGCGTACTCAATTCGGGACCGAATGAAGGAGGAATATATAGTGACAAGGTCTTTATCGCTTAACCCAGCCTTTTTAACTTCCGCAATGCATAGAGTCTGGAATTTGCTTTTTTAATCACATAGTCGACATGATCACACCAAGATAGATCCTCTCTCAGTAGCACACCGAGCAGTTTAAAGGAGGATACTGATTGCACTGGCGAACCATCTATATAGATCGCATTATCAAGTGGAAGGTGGTATTGGAGGAAGGATATTGTCATCTCCTTACATTTCTTACTGTTAAGCTTCATTCCTCTACTTGAGGCATACTGAGATACATCATTTACAAGAATAGGTAGCAAGCTAGGAGAGCAACGTGGAACAATTTCTAGTGCAGTAGCATCGTCTACAAACTTTATCCGCCCATTCCAGTCCTGTAGGAGGGAATTGACCAAAATGGCAAAGAGAAGAGGGCCAAGTTTAGGTCCTTGAGGTAGGCCACCGTTAACGGGTTTCCATGAGGAAAAGGATGGTCCGATTTTAACACACTGTTCGCGGGAGGTAAGGAACGACTTTATCCATCTTATAATGGCAGGACTCACTTGTAATTTTAAAAGTTCATCAATAATGACATTATGGTCGACGAGATCAAAACCTTTTTTGAAATCAGCAAAAAAGATTCTTACAGAGCAGTGGCCTTGATCTAAAGCAGCATGAATCAAGTGGAGGAGATAAACGAGTGCCTGAGTGATTGACTTTCCCGGAAGAGCAAATTGCTTTGGGTCCAATTTAAGACCCACTTCCGACATGAAGGACTGTAGCATAAATCCTTCCATCACTTTAGATACCTGAGCTGTGAGTGATATAGGTCTTAAATCGTCCTCAATAGTCTGAGGTGGTGACACTTTTGGAATGGGAACGACGATAGAACGTTTTAGCTGATCAGGGAAGACTCCCTGGAGCACTGATGTATTGTATATGTCCATTATGATAGGGCAAATTCAAAAGCGAAGGTTTTCAGGATCCTATTTGGGATACCATCTGGGCCAGGAGACTTCGTCGTTTTAAGACGTCGCAACACTGAATAAACTTGCCCTATATTTACGAGTAGATGGTTGGGAACTTCTGTCTCCTGGTCATCGGTGCATTCTAACAAGGGTTTAAAATGCGAAGTAAGTCCAACAAGATATCCGTTATATGACTCAGCAAGGCCCTCACAGGTGGGGTTTACTTCAGAAAGTAGTTGATGTACCCAAGATTCCCGAGAAGAGAGGCCCCCTATGGATTTAACCTCTTTCCACCATCTGGAAGGGTTTGCACTTTTCAACTTCTGCACGGAATTGGCATAGTACTTTCTACGTGCCACTTTAACATTATGGTCGCTCGAGCCAATAGGAGGAGGCCGGCTTACATCAAAAACGACTTTCTTGGCATTTGTGAGACACCAATCCAATATGGCGTTGTGACTTGTTGGGACATTAATAATTTGAGTTAAACCGGACAATCTTTTCAACCGTTTTTCATCAAATAATGTACGGACAGGGTTAAAATCCCCAGTCACAAACACGAGACCATCAGGATGCAGAGAAAGGAAGGATTCGACATTACGCTGGATATGGTTGTACAGTTCAAAGTTCTCGTTGGCGCCGGAGGAGGTGGTGTGGTAAATGACTGCAAGTAGAAGAGCGGATATAGATCTTGGTAAACGCTTAGGTCTAAGTAGTAACCATAGGGATTCAATGGCTGAATCTTCGAAATGCTCGAGCCTCCTACAGTAAATTTCTTCTTTAATATAAATGGAAACGCCGCCACCGCAGGAGTATGTGCGATCATTTCTGAATTGGATGAAGTTCGATAACGAAATCATTGAGTCCACAACAGAGGTGTTAAGCCAAGATTCAGTAATGCATATGACCTCAACTTGGTTAATTTGAGCTACCAACTCTAGTTCGTCTATTTTATTAATTATAGAACGGACATTGGCCACCAGCAGGGTAGGGAGCGGGAAATTGTTATCACGAGCTACATACGACGTGGAAATGGTGGGTGCGTTGGCCAGGGTTGGGGTAACCATGGCCTCGGAAGGTAATTTGGGGGATACTGCTTGTTCGTTATGTCGCGTGGGCGCAGAAGGTAATTTGGGGGATACTGCTCGTTCATTTTGTCGCGTGGGCGACGTAAATACTGAGGGGGATGAACTGGGGTCATCATTAGTGGTCGTGGATACATTGATTTTGGTGGAGGGAACAGCGGTTGAGACACTGAATACCGGTGATAAGGGGGGTGAGGTATTTGAGCATACTCGAGACTCTGTAATCTTGTTTCGAGTTGGCGCATCAAAGTCGGAATATTTTGTAGGTCGTGACTTCCTAAAAAAGGATGTAATTGGGGGCATTGTAAGTTATCATTTGTTACCGGATGATTTCCAGTTGGATACGAATAGGGTTCGACATGGGAAAAATCACATCTGGATTCTTTCAAACAATAGCCCTTCTTACGTAGAAACGGACAAAATATGGAGCCTTTTTTATCGTTGGAATGCTGGCGAGCTTGATCATTATTAACCATATTTCGATGAGAAAAGTCGCACTGTTCACCTTTTAAGCACCAGCCACGCCTCAAAATAAACGGACAAGGCGTTTCATTTCTGGGAACTTGCATCTCATTGGTTGGCGGTAAGTTTGCATCGCTCACATTTGGGACAGGGACATTAACTTCTACACCAAGAGAACTTTTGGGCATTAAGTCTGCATTACTCGCAGGTAGGACAGGAACAACATCACTCACAAGTGGAGAAGGGTCATTAGCATTTATATTAAAATAACTTTTTGGCGAACTACAAATCGTCATACAATTTTCAGATGGTAGATTTTCGTTGGTAGGCTGATTATTATTCGAGTGCGTGGGTAATAGTATTTCGCAATTACTCTTTCCAACATCATTATTGGACCCTTGGGGATTTACTAGGCCGTAGGATGAGCATCCAAAAGATGCTTAGAAAACGGATTCCGTTGCACCCCTCGTGTAACTACATAATTTTCACATGAATAAATAGATAAAAACTTACTTTATCAGAATCCGTTGCTCCCCAAGCGAAACAGGTGCACAATTGGGAGAAAAATCCCTCCAAAGTTTGATATTTTCGCGCTTTGAAATGCTCGAACCGCCATTATTTTGGTAGCAAATACGCATGCGCAACTCACCCAAACTCGCACTGCGCACGCGCACAACCAACGCACATGCTTCGAAGTGGAAACACGCTCAGTTATGCAAATATTAAAACATGGCTGAAGATATTTATAAAACTCGACTATCCTCATGGTTTATGCATTTTGTTGGCGTTACGGAACAACTTTGCAAAGTTACACGCCAAAGGCTTAAGAAATTTCTTGAGCGTAGGTCAAAATGGGCCAAACTTAAATGTCAACAAGCTGAAATAGCTAAGAAATCGTACGAGAACATCGATGACGGATCTGTCAATTCATACATGGAGAAGAACCCTGACACCATTAACTTAGAATGGAACCATCATTTGAAATGCTGGAAGAGATTTTGTGATGAAGAGAAGATCTGTAGATTACAGAGAAAACAAGAAAAAGGAGAAGGAACTAGCTGTAAAACTGTATTACTAACTTCTACCGAAGAATCACACGAGGAAGTGGAGGCAATAGAACCAAGGCGAAAATTACACGTCAATCAGTCGCAGAAGCTATAAATATAAAGGCCCTGCCTAAAAGAAACGCGCATGTACTCCCAAAGATATGTATTATTTGTGGAAGAGACGCCTCGTGGTTCTCACTAGACAAGGTATGGTCATTTTGATAGGTATAATACTAGCGCAATGTGCACAACATTCTCAGGTTTGGTTTTAAAATATATTGAATTTTGATCAATTAAGTTTATTTAGGGTAAAGTAGTTTCTATGCTACAAACATCGAACCTTGTTATTAATAGATGTTTAGTTTAATAATTTATTTTGTTTCATACCAGGCAACTAAGAAGAGAAGAAGAACCTCACTCATGTTGGCACTTGGCAGAAACAATTATGCTGGTCTTCTTCGTACAGCTGCCGAGAGAAAGAATGATCAACGGATACTCGTGCAAATCCATGGGAAAGACTGTGTAGCTCTGGAAATCTGCTATCACAAAGTTTGCTACTGCAATTATACAATATTTCTCACCAGAGAGACGAAGAAGCAACAGGAGCATCAGTGTACGAGAAGTCTTATGATGTATTCTGTAAAAAAGTAATTGAGATGGAGGTCATCGGAAATAAGCAAATAAAGTATATGAAAGATTTGCTGGAGAAATTTGTTATCATTGCTAAGGACACTGAGAATGTGGATGCATCTAAATATAGAGCTTTTAAACTCAAGCAATGACTGATGAAAAGCTATCCCCAACTTGTGTTCTGTGTACTGAAAATGAAAGATGTTAGTAAGATTGTATATGTGGAAAATTTGGATTCTTCTGAATATTGGTTGAGGAACATATGTCAATTAAGGGCCTGTTTATATGGAAGTTGGGCTGGCCCGCTTATAGCGAGACAGCCCGGTAAGTGGGATGAATTTCTCTTGTGTTTATATGAGAAACTTTTATCCCGCTTGCCGGGACAATTTTGTTACATTGTATTGTTTTGACAGTTGTTAAAAATAGCTTGCGGCGGTATCTTTGAACTTTCATCCCGGCAACCAGGATAGCCCGCTTGTGAATGTTTATATGGAGAAATTTCCATCCCGGTAAGCGAGATCTAGCCTCTTTCAAACGAGATCTCGGCAACCGGGCCAGCCCGCTTGTCCATATAAACGCACGATAATTTTTACTATAAAAATAACAACACAGCGAGATCTCGCTTACCGGGCTGTCTCGCTTATCAGGCCGGCTTCCATATAAACAGGCCCTAAGTCTGAAAACAATGATGAGGACTTTGATGAAGAGAGCTGTACCATTGATTATGATGATGTGAATTCTAACACAGAAACTGAGGGAAATTCTAAAGTCAATGAGTTACAAATTCTATACAATGCAGCATTGATTCTTCACCAAAAGGTGCAAGAAATACTGAATCTTCCTTGGCCACCATTGGCATCTGATTTGACAAGGGATAATATTTCAAATCCGACTATGAGATCAGGACTAGACTAGATTTCAAGTCCACACAATTTGATTACGTCCGAGGCGAAGCAGAGGACTGGATCAAAATGTGAGGACTTGAAATCTAGTCCAGTCCGAATTGGAGGATTTGAAATGACATCCATACGAATAAATCACTACTTAATTAATTTTGATCCAGTTCAAGGACTGAATTAATTTTAATCCAGTCCTAGGACACTACAGGATCAATATACTTCAGAAGGTATCTAGTATTATCATGTGAGCAAAATAAAGCAATATGGTTGGCTAATTTGCTCATGAATTATTAATGATTTGAGGCGAACAATGGTGGTAAGTCACATATAATAGGTATTATCAGTGGAGTAGATCAGTATTTATTTACTTATTCGATATTCTCAATCGGATCCACAGTATTTATATTATCAACACATATATCCCTCTCATGGACAGGGTAACAGTATGGAAGCTAAAACGCACCCTGGTGGAGGACCTGAAACGCACAGCAGCAAATGTATAAGAAAAAGTCAACTAGTGTGGACACGAA